AATCACGAGATCTACTTAGTTTTTCGGTAGTGTGTATAGTTTTGTAGATATCGCGAATCCAAGTATCGTTCCGGCGGCACGGCGAAACCGAAACTACCGGTTGAAGCAGCTTGGCAACACTGATACTAGTGGCGCGTCGTCGGCATGACCTAGTTCTGGTCCCGCGCTTCTCAGCCGACGCGCCGACAACGTCGGCTCAATCGCACGTGGAGTATCAAAACAAAAGGTTAGATGCACATTTTCTTTTTTTACCGCTTCACTTTGTTAATATGCACCAAATGTAGTAAGTTTTAGTGTGTATTTATAAATTTGCCGGCCGAAAAACGAATCCGACTGCTATAAATATGACGCGGTCGGTGCCGGCGCAGCGTGACTGTATTTGTGTTTTGCTCGCGGTCCGAGAGAAAACGAAATAATGGGAGATAGATGGACAGATCTATCCACAAGTGGTCTAAGTTGCTAAGCTAAGGTGCCTTTATGTGCACGCTAGTTAGATCAGCCGCGACCTGCTGCGTCCGGCCGATCGTGCTGGAGCAGCCGGCGGACGGTACGCGAACAGCGACGGCACTGCGTCGTTCTTCAAAGACGCCTGTTTCGTGGAGAAACCCGCAACGGTCAGCAGCCGCAGATCCCGTGTGTAGGTGTCTGACGTAAAGTGCTGGGAGCAGAGCTTCGCGTTGGAGCTCAGAGTCAACGGTCTTCCGAAGTCTATCCGGCGAACGGCACCGACCCACACCTTGTGCCTCTTCCGGTCTCTTGGGAGCTGGTGGAACCGCAGCTCCGGGTTGCGCACCGGGTTGTTGGTGCAACCCAGAGCACTACAAATCTTGCTCGACATCGCGCAACGCGAGTCCGGCAAGTCTCTCCGGCTCCACGACGCGCGCGTGAGCGAGCGGCACCTTTTCGCTCTCTTCCGCGCTGTCGCGGAAGCAATGCTGGAGTTAAAGGAACTGTCTGGAGGCTAATAAAAATAGAGAAACTCAAAATAATGTGGTATACACCTCGTGCCGTCAGCAGAATCGCAGAATGCCACAGGAAACGAAGCGCTCGCGGCGTCCGTACGAGAGCGTAGGACTAGAACTACGTCATTGCCCAGTGTTGCTTCACTAGCTCACCCGGTGCCAGCGTTGCTCACCCGCTTTCGGGCCGCCAACCGAGCCGGGAGAACATTTTTAATATTGGTTTTAATCGGTAATGCGGCGTCGGTTTGACGTAATATTTTGGGTATGACCGTATTTTGACCTCCTAAAGCGATATCAGTCATTTCGATACGGTCGACTTTTTCAGTGGAGTTGCCCTTTAATTAATTCTGTGTTTAGCCACCATATTAAGTCAATGTATAAAATTAAATTTTACTCAGAAAATGTGAGCCTAGGATATCATCCACAGCCATGCCATTGAGCTTGCTAAACAATTCTAATTATTAGAACAAAATAAATTAAACGGGGGGGGGGGGGGGGGGGGGGACACATGTGTGATCTCAGTCTTGATACTTTAGAAAAAGAAATGTGGCCTCGTTGTCGCGTGTTCTCAAGTGTATGTTTATTTGTGACCTGGGGTTCGAGGCTTCGAACTCAGGGTCCCACAGCAGGTAATACTGTTCTGCTGTGATGCCCTCAGTGTCTTCGTGCACTGAACAGCAAATAATAGAAACAAAACTATTAGATACGTGCCAGCGGAGGGCCTTACAAGCTAGAAATGACCAAGGTAGAATTACCTTCAGGGGGCACAATGTCAGAGTCGAAGCGGTTCTGTAGAGGCTCCACCAGCGATCCGATGAAGGCTGTCAACTTTTCGGTTTTTCTGCTAAGAGGCTTTGGGAAGAGTCCCCCACCAGTGGCCTTCATGGCCAGCCAGTTAGCAGCCAAGTCTTTCCGGGCCTTCATATTTATAGTTTCGTAAAAATGTTTCAGTTGATGCACCTCTCGTCTAGCACCCATGACCGGATTGAATTTTAGCGTAATTCGGTCCACTACCCAGTTTTTGGTTTTTTTAGTAATTTGATCGGATGTTTTGCTCTCGACAACGTTCTTAAATTCTTCCACTAGGTCTAATAATGCATCCTTGTCGCGTTCAGTGAAATTTAGAGCCCGGTTACCCGTCGTTACTTGTCTTCGAGTTTGGGAACAGAAGTAAAAACGATTCTAAGTGGCAGTCGTCTGCAAGCATTCATAATAAACCACACGTGGACAAATGTACAGATATTTTGTATTTATTCAAAATTTTCAAGAACGTTTTTGTCATGTTTGCAAAAGACGGTGTTAGAGTTGTTCAATCAAACAATGTTTCATCTGCTAATCATCGAAAAAAAAAAAAAAAAACAGCCAAGAACAACCGCTGGCGCCGACTACCGCGGCAAAAAGTGCTGTTTACATCACGTGATGTTTCCCCGCCAATCGTATTCGTCTCTCTGAGCATTCCCTAAGTCGCTCTGTTTGTCCCTAGAATCCCTACGCAAATCCAGTGTTTAGCTACGGGCCGGTTGCAACGTAGACCCAAGTTAACGTTGCAACCGGAATGTAAACCCGTGCTTATCCAAGCCCTGTTTTGGCGCTAAGCTGACTTAGGATAGAGCCGCTTTGGGTTAAGGTAAGCGACGTTGGTGCGTCCGGCCTTTAATGGCTCAAAAACTCATTTGATGATTTCGCCAACAAAAAAAAAAAAACATTTTTTATCAAAAGCAAAAATCTGCAGTTTTTTCTTTCTTGCTCTAAGCTGTTTAAATTTTGATACAATGAATTCACCCTGCACTTGATTTTCACCACGATCGTCATATGGGATCATATTGTTCTGCCTTTCACATGAGACCAATTATTCCAGGACCATTTTTTTCTACACACGCTTTCAATGCTGCCGAACACAGTGTTACGAATGCATGCTTATTTGCCATGATGCCACTTCCGGCACTCGAACGAGACGGACGGGTTTTCATGAGCTCCGTCGGAGCTGTGAAAACGGCCGCGTTAGGCCTTGGTACGTCTGTTTCTGGAACCGCTGTCGACTGTCAGATAATACGGCCCAACTGCCAACCGGATACGTTATTACCAATGCTGTGTTCAGGCACTGAAACGTAAAAGGACGACCCCACCGAATGCAAGACTTTCGTCAGGAGCTCGAGAGGCTGGATGTGAAGAAGGACCTCGCAAGCGCCGGTTCCACCAGATAAGCCAGGTCTGGATTTTCCGGTTGGACTCGATCGCGGCGAATCAAAGGTTCGTCGCCGCCAAAGAGCTGAACATCAAAAGGGGGCATTGCCTCGTCATCAACTCGGCGAACACAGCCGTGAAGCTGAAGTTTCAGTGGGTCCCGTACTACGTGCCCAACAGCCAGGTGAAGAAGGAACTGGAACGCGACGGCAAGGTCTCCGAGATCACCAGGGACCTCTTCCTGGAAAAATAATTTGAGGCTGTCGAATCCAACTCCCGCAGTGTACGCCTGACCCTCAAGGACGTCTACAGCGTCAACTGCCTCCCGCACGAGATCCGCCTGGAGGTGTGCAAGGTACTACGTGTCGTGGTCCCCGGACGTGCACCTCTCTGCCTTCGCTGTCGCCGTACGGGACACATTTGTCGGGATTGTTCCGCCCCCCGTTGCTCTGAATGCCACCGTTATTGGCATGAGGCAGACGACTGCGTCAAGACCTATGCCTCGATGGCCCGTGACCGCAAGACGGACGAACAAACCGACTAGATGATGGACGACGCCGAAGCGGAGGAGGCGGTCGGTGCTCCCGCCCTGGTCACACAACCGCCGTTCACGACAAGGCAATGATGCATTTTGACCCCGGCACGGGCGATCTTCACGATGTTCCCATTCGATTCGCGACATTATATGTCGCGAATCGAATTAGGACGGGCACTGCGAAGCTCGGAAAGCGTATCGCAGGCCACGTACACCGAGCGGGATTGGCTAGGAGAGCTCGTAGCGTCCTCTTCGTCTGGACGTAAGGTGAAACAGTATTTATTTATTTATTTATTTATTTATTAGAGTACCTACATCGTATAAACGCACTGCGGGTCAGTGCACGGCACAAATCTGCCACGACTGTTGCGTGAGCGTTGGGCCGGGACTCGTGTCCAGTCAGTGAGAACGGGACTCCAAGCCAAACGCTGACGCGGAGGTCGCGAGTGATTTGTGCCCCGCAAGGGACGACCCTAGGTGATGTGGGAAATTTATGTGGAGCGCTAGTTCGTCCGCTTCCTCACAGGGTTTGCGATGATCTAAGAACGCCAAGCACCTAATGGCTGATCAAAACAAAATAGTGGGTAAAGCTCGAGGTTTCTAGCATTGGCGCCTACCCAGAATCCTTCCAGTCAAAGCTAATCAAAGCTCGGCGTCGTTCTGAAGTTACCGCAACCCCTGAGCAACAAGCAGACGACTTGCTCTCCGAATCGGTACGGCCTTTTGTTTAGGTGATGCTGCACAATGGGGAGGACGAAGGACGGCTCGGAAAAAACTCTTGTCAAAAGTAGGCGCCATCGTCTTCCCGCCATTTCTTGATCACGTACCCTGAGCATCTATTGGGCACGAGGGCAGCGTCAGAGTTCGGCGTGAACTCGGATTGAATCAGCGCTTCGTGCCCAAGAAATGGCGACCATCGATGTTGCTCAACGGACTTCTCAAAAGGAAATCTTTTTAAAACTTCAACAAAAGATTGCAAATAACCACTTAAAGGGTGCAGCGATTGACAGCGGGAGCTGTCGCGTTGGCGTTTAGTTGACATGGTTTAAGATATTTACTTTAGCAGCGTTTCCGCTTAGTATAATAGTATAATAGCTGTCGGAGATATGCTTTAGGAGATGGGTGAAAGGAGCTTGCGCAAAACAAGCTAAATGCAGCGGCATAGCAACGCGTAAAGATTACTACAGAACAAGTATGTGATAAATCAGACGCATGGGCCGCATCACGCGGCTTCCCACTCTTCTGATATCTCCGGTTACAGAAATAACTGCTGGAACGCAGCCAGTGCATCGCGCGAGAAAACGGTGGGCTGCAGTGGGCGTCAGTCCTACCTCAACGTCCTGGCTTTGCGGATCTGAAGATCACAGGTGTGTGCCCCATGTACGTAGTTCGAAGTATTTTATGTCTTCTAAGGAAATGTTGGCCTGAAACTACCGAATTCTTCGGCCTATTAGTTGCTCTGTTATATAAGCCGCGCCTCCCTATAAAGGGCGGTTTAAAAAAAATGTATATATCTTTGTAAATGTTGTCCCTCTTTCTACGGTCGGTAGAGTCGCAGCAGCCTACGCCACCACGCTTCAGGCCGCCTTCGAACAGCCAAAAGCAAATTGCAGGGCAGCAGGGCGTCGACGGGAGTCTTGCCGTCCGTATTTTGTTGTAAGTGTTGATGCAGCCTATATCTAACAGAAATAAAGTTTGTACTTACAATAAATAATTTCACGTAAATCGCACCGTCGCATATAATGCCCCAGGAAAGTTTTCGTAAATAAAAAAGCGGCAATGAAATTAAGGTCCACTTGCGCGAACAATGCAAATAAGGGGTAGCTTCCGATCACTACATCCGTTAAGGAACGATGCAAGACACAATACGAGTGAATTGTGCTTTTAACCAAGAAGTAAACATGCTTTATTAGAACTTGCCACATTGCGGAAAATATAAATATCCGCAAACGTGTTGCAGCTTGGCGGACAGCCTCCCCGACTTGCTTTCCAATAGTCAGACAACATTCTGCCCTACTGCCTGGCGAACACGCAAACCCTCTCCTAGTCTAGTTTTGTTGTTCCTTTCGTGTTTAAGAAGCCTTCACTGGTAAGTGATTCTACTATGTTTTTGCGTGTTCGACAGTCTGAATGACTACAGGTTGAGAGCCGCTAGTGGCCACAGGGGAGCACCCTTGGACCCCTTCTGTTTAACTTATACATCAATGATATAGTAAATATAGACGACAGTGCAGATTTTATCGTTTACGCAGACGACACCAGTTTATTCTTTTCAGGAAAAGTTGTCCACCAAGTTTTATGTTCGGCAAATAGCGTTTTGCAGAAGATCAGCAAGTGGACAATCTCAAACTCTCTAGTAATTATTACAGAAAAGACGAAAGCAATACTTTTTCGATCCAAAAATACAGTGTTTTCATCTACTCAAGGGCTTTCTCTCCAAGGACGAAATATTGACTTTGTACAATATGTGAAGGTTCTTGGTGTCATATTTAATGAGAACATGAGCTGGGACGCCGAAGTACAATGCATACCTGGCAGACTTTCAAAGGTTGTGGGCATTATTTATAAATCCCGTCATATATTACCCCTTTCGGTCTTAATTCATCTTTATAACTTCCTCTTTTACTCTTGCTATAATTACTGCTTCCTTGTTTGGGGTAGCACAACGGCTACAAATATGCACCACTTGCACGTTCTCCAGAAGAGAATAATTCGCATTATGTGCAATGCGGAGTTCAACGCTCACACATTAAAACTTTTCAAAAACCATCATATAGTTCCAATTACAGAGCATTATAATTATAAACTTCTAACATATCAAACGTCTGTAAGGCAAAATCAACTTGTTTTTCAATCAATCGCCAATATGAAGCGGAGAGTACCTGCATATGGAGGACGGTCAACGCCTCGCTCGAGAACAGGCTACGGCTTCCAGATGTTGCAGCACTCGTTGCCTAATGTTATAAATAGTACACATAGGCTGGGCACGGACTTGATGGGTTTGAGCAGAAAGGATATTCGTTCATTGTTTCTCTAGTGTTATTTGTGCCCATTCTTGATGGGACCTCCGACCTGCAAAAAATGTTCGTAAAGTACGTCAGATTTGTCTTGTTTTTGTTTTTTGTTTAACGCTGTGTGCTTTGATCCTATATAAACCTTGTTCTACGGGTCACTAGTATGTGAAATAGTTTTTTCTTTTTGCTGATGGGGAGGAGAAACTCTGTCAAGCGACAACAGTCTGCTTTTTTTTCTTCCTCCCCCTCTCCCCTGGAGAAAAACAATAAAGTTGAAGTTGAAGTTGAAGTGACTGAAAGAATAGACCCTATCGAAACGTTCATCAGACAACACTGGCGGTCGCTATTCCTTAGACACGATCGCGCGATGGGATCCGAGTCCCGGTCCAACCCTGTCGCAGTCCACGTTTCCAGTGGATGCTGGGAGCCTATGTGATCAAGCAATGGCGGAAAGGTTTTGGAGTGGACTTTTGAAAATTGTCTATTGCTCCAATAATTGTTTTCCCATAATGTTTTATCAGACTGCTCTTCGCTCGCTGACAGAAGGGGTATACCTATAACAGTAAAAGATTAGTCGACTATACTTTTTGTTTAGCTTCTGCGCGGCATTAGTTCTCTCGTGTTTGAATTTTCAATCACTTATAACATTTGAATGAGATATCCGTTCGCGCTGAAACTTTTTCATCTGGTTCGGACCTCTAGTATTACCTTTGGTCGGAGATTGAGCGTTCGGCGATGCGTAGATTATTTTTGCTAGGAGAAAAAAACCCTGTAATTTTTTGTGGAACACCCGGTACTACCAACAGTCTTCACCGTACAGGGCTGATCAGCTGCGTTAACAGTGTGCTATTTCGAATTTACAACCCTGTAAGCTCAGCAAACGCCATATTAGTTTTATGTCTTGAAACAGCTTCAGATACCTGAAGTCGTGTGTAGATTTTAATTATTAAGACTAACTTTTTACTTTCCTTTCTAAATCGGGAAGTTTAGTATATTTTATAAAGTAACAAGCGCGACATTTCATTAAAAAAAAAAAGAATAATATAGGGCCGTCACAACCTGCTAATCTCACTTAAACGACACTGTGGCCACTTAATCCTGGTTTTATGTGAAGCTTGTAGATAACTTTGATGCAACTTTCCTACATAATTGCCCACTATTCAGGGTTGGCTTTCTCGAAGCGAAATCAATCGGCATTGTCCATGAATCTCAAGAAAACAGATTTCTAAGGTAGTGGCGAGCAAGAGTCCAAACCTATCTTCCCTTCACCCTTAAGCAGGGACTATAGACGCTTTACACACGCGCCAAATTACAGCCGCGATGGCTGACCTTCTCTTGTCTTACCGAGGTGCCGAGACCCTGAAACCGTAGTTGACCATCCTCTACAAAGGCCGATGCTTTAGAAAAGGACACAGTTGAATCTAATATGGCAATAACCTGGCCCGATATGGTAATGATGAAGTGAAATAAACGAAATAAGAGGAAACAAAAACTGAAGGTCAGTTATGGCGGCGTCCATGCACAGCTGCTGCAAAGGGTCTATAAAGCTCCGCATTCAGCGCGAGCATTCTGCCCTTGCTAACACAAGTGTGAACGCGCAGCCACGCGCAACCAAAGCACTGCGGATGCCAGCGAGCTCGCGCTGAAGGCGGAGTTTCAAGTCTCAGTTTAAGGGTGAATGAAGAATGTCTTTACAATGTTTTATCTAGATACTATTTTAGTTGCAACTAACCGACTGCCCCTGGACCAAGTCAACCTAGGCATTACACAGATTGCTGTCAAGGGTTTCTACAATCTAGTGTCTTAAAAAATTTGGATTGAAAAGGCATCTATCAATTAAAAAAAAATAAAAAAACTACCAATCTTTAGTTTTCAAATAGCATCGGTGACAGCTGTCTCTTTTGCCTAACGATTCGATGCTACAAATAAACGGATAACGATCTCTTTGTTCGTAAAGGGGTATTCACACGAGGGAGAAATCCCGGGGATTTCTTCTCGGCACGCGCGCATCACGAGACGAAAACGCGAGGCATTTGCACATCACAAAACCTAACGTTTTCGTCACCGGATGCGCGTGCCGTGGAGAAATCCCCGGGACTTCTCCCTCGTGTGAATACCCCTTTAGAAGCGTCAATATAAAAAAAACGTTATTGTGTTTAAAAATTGATCATTTCTTATTTTTTTATTGAACCTGAACGTTCCGTGCCTGTTGGAACATGTGTTTTACCGGAGCGCTTTCGTGTATCACTTCCGCGGGATGCATGTTAAACACTTCAGACTGGAGGTCTTACTGCACTGCCTACATTTATGATGTTAGCGGACATATGTGACGCCCTTCGGGGCAAACTGGCCTTCCCCGATGTGCCAGTTAACTTTCACGCAACTACTTACTGCAAAAAAAAAAAAGGTGCTCCTTTTTTTTTCGCCGGCGAACTGCAGCCTGTACGTCCTGAGGAGTACACTGACATTTTAAGAGCATGGTCTTCGAAAAAAAAGGATAACGTATTGAAGGTGGATAACATCTGAGTGATATAGCTCTTAGCAGGCACGCTAAACACGAAGCTAAACACGCACTAAAAATGATCGGAAGTAAAAAAAGTAACAAAAAATACGAGCAGGATGGTAGACCCTAAAAGTGGGGTAGAACAAAGTTACAGAACAAAGAAATACAGAAACCAAGTGAGAAAGACTGCGTCAATAACTCGGCTCAAAAATAGGGGAAAGTAAAATCTGCAGACTCAACAAAAAAAAAATGAATGTTATGAAGCAAAAAAAAAAAAAAGTGTCGTTTCTCTAATTGAGTAACCATACTATTATCTAGTTAAAGGATTACTGAAAAAAGATACGAAAATGAAGGACGTAAATATTCCGAGACACAAAACTAAAAATGGGGATGGTAGCCCTTATCTTTGTTTTTACCTTTCCAGTGTTTGCTGGGTGCTTAGCTGAACTTAAAACTATGTGCGTCGCTATCAAAAACACAGTCTTGATCGGGCAAGGAAGGCCTCTTTATAAAGCAGCACCTTACATGTGGTGCCTCTCACATCAGTGTGCGATATTCTTGGGTAGCCATGTTGAGTCATACGTCGATATGCAATATGTAAAGCAATGTTAAGGACAAAGATGGGCCCGCCTGAGATTTAGATTTAGTTTTTCAACCGGTTATTTTTGGCCATAAACTATGTTCAAACAGTAATTTCTTTACACTATGCCAAAATATTTTTGTATCAAATGCCTATAATACTTCTCAGAATACTATCAAGTAGTGGTACTAAAACAACTTTTTTCTTAGGGGGATGGAGGTAGGGGAAGGAGTTCATGGCAGCCCTAGACTCACAGTATGAGTGTGGGGGGCTGGATATATGTATTTCTAAGCCAGTTGTGAATAAAACCTACAAACGTGCGCACAGTTTTGCTTTATTAATCAGGAAGTCTGGGGTAAAGATCCATTCCGCCACGTAATTCACCCGTTCATCGTGCACTTCTTTCGTGTTGTCTGAAGGCCCTTGCACCCCCCCCCCCCCCCCATTTTAGGTTATCTATATACTTACCGCATTTTGGGGGTCCATGCACGAGCTGCATGTCGGTGGCGTCCGCACCATTTATCCGCGCTGCTCTCCTGTTTGGTGTGTAGGCGGTATTGGTTCTAAGATCAAGGGCCCTCCATTCTGCAGGTTTCTTCTAGTCGTCGGGCAAAATCCTGCGACTGGATACCTTGACCCTTTGAAGATGAGACCCACCTTCATATCCGGATTTTCCGACACTCTGGATTGGAGGCCCCTGTACTTCCAAGAGTCCTCCGTTGCGAACATTGTATGCTCCCTGTGTGGCCTGGTTTCGAGAAATGTTGTCAGATTGCCCTGTGAGCACACACTCTGCTCGGAATGTCACGAGGAGTCCCAGAGGCGAGGGAGCACTTGTCCACTGGATGAAGAATCCTTCGCCGACGATAACATTCTTCACCTTGATATCTCGGGAGGTTACATCCTGAACCATACGGTAAATAAATCTAAATAAAGAAGCTGCAGAAATTATAGATATGTTGTTGGAGCTTTACAAGCCCTTCAACACTTGAATATGTTTCTCTTTTTTTTATAGCCAGGACTCCGTGTTTTCGGAGTTTATTTATCGTGAAATTTGGAGGGTGTTTTTCGGACTTTCTTTATTGCCGAATATTCGGAATTTATCGAAGATTATTTTTGTTGGATTCCCAATTTTCTGAAGTAGGTTGTATATATATGCTATGTTCCTAAATTTTAAAAATTGAAAATAAAAATATATTTTAGCTGGCGTGTATAACTCTGCCCCAGATTTATAAGAACGCACGTGTACTACACGGCATTGGCGCCCTTGCCATTAGTAGTACTACCATAAAATCATTAGAAATAGCCCACCTAAAATTGAGAGAAAATTGGGAGTAGATAAGGAGCGGACTAACTTTCGGTGTGCAATCAAGAAACATTTCAAAAGTTTTATAAGTATATAATATGTTTCTGCCAAACTTGTTATCGCGGCAAGGGTGAATGAAGCAAAGATTACTGAACTTCCCAGTCAGCAATGTCATATTAAGATAAATGAACTCCTTGACGCAGTCGTTGGAAAGCTTGTTTTCTCTTCATTCTTTTCTACCGCGTCTCCCTGCGGCTGCGGTGGGTGGATTGATGAAATAGAAGCCTCAGCTGTCCCTCTTATGAAATCTAAAGGCTCGTTCACACAGTTTCGTCGAGTGCGTTGCGCTAGGTTGCGCCGTGCAGCACCGCGCCTCTCGATTGGCTCGTCGTAACTGTCGCCGTAGCAACAGCTCAACGCCAACAGTCTTAAAAAGACGCAAATGATGGCGGTCGCACTCTGACGCAACTGCGTGGATGGGCCTTAAGAGTTTATGACTTTTACGGTTATCAAATCACAACCCTTCCTTCCTTTAAGAAGTTCAACCTGTAAACCAAAGCAGTGGTTTCTGTTGTGGCCCAGAATTACGATGTCCGTCGCCTCTCCTGATGACCGCTGGACATGTGCTGTGACCAATCTTTCTCGTAGAAAACTGAACTTTTTTTTTTTTGTTGTTTGCCTACGTTTTTTTGCATTTTTGGAATAAATCTGAATTCAAGAAACTTTTACCGGCGAGATTTTTTGTTTGTTTCTGGGTTCTTTTCTGAATTGATTTGAAAACGCGCCACCCTTTCTATAGTCCACTTATATTTAATTTAAAAAAAATGCATGCTAAACATTTATTTATTTAAAAAAAAAATATTTTTACATATATTTTCCTAATCGTTTCAAATAATCAATGTGAACAACTCACGTGTTTTCGTAGTTTTGCCTCCGGTCTCCAACTCGGATATTAGCTTCTTGTGCCGTCTTTTCGTTTTCAGGTTATAATTATATAAGAGCTGAACATTTCTTTCTTCTTTTTTTCTCAGGTCGCCTGCGTCAATGCACCCAATGGTTGCGACTTCATAGGTGAAGCTTCCAGACTCGTGGATCACTACAAGCAGTGCTCGTTTCACGTCGTGCCTTGCCCCAGGTGCCAATCACCAGTGCTAAGGAATGAGCTCGTTGGTCACTGTAAAGACGGCTGCAGTTCTGCATCCACTACACCCGTGCCCATTCCGTATTATATTAACGTGAATTATGATCATTTAGAAATTACAAGCAGTGAACTGAAAAGAAAGATGTTCAAGATATCCGAAAATCTCTCTTTTCTTCAAACCAGCCTCAACCAGTGGCTTGAGGAAGTCCGAACATTGGAGAACAACACAAGCAAGGAACTGAAGGACGCAACGCTGAAGATCTCTGACCATCTCTCCGATTTGCACACCAGTGTGGAACAGTGCCGGGAAGATGCGAGGGAAGCAGCCAGAAACAGCAAAGAGCAGTCGGAAGCTCAATCCTCGAGACTTTCCGAGCAGTTGGTCAGAATCGAAACTCAAGGGTTTGCTGCGGCAAACAAAGAACTAAAAGTTGCCATTGAAGACACAATGAAGACGCACATGCAGGAGTTGCGTCCACAATGCGAAGAACTTATGAATGTTACGAAGAGTGTATCCGATTGCGTGCTTGGAATTTGCGGAGCCAAGGAATTTCACTGGTACTTTAAAGGCTGGGAAGACTCCAAAAATAATTTATTAGACGGAGGTGTACAAACAACTGACAGCCCCTTACATTATGTATGTGGCTATAATGTGTGCATCCGTATTTGGTTGGAACGATTTCCGTCTAACACGTATTTAGGGATGGGTATGTGTATCCATCCAGGTGTCAACGATTCAAAGCTGGAATGGCCCTTCAGCAAGACTTACACGCTCGGCGTCATTCATCCCAAAGACAAAGGAAAAAGAAAGATTGATGTAACCGATGCAAGTAAACATTCGGACGAGGAGAGCTTCCAGATGCCAAAACAAGGCGGTAATGTTGGCTTTGGATGCCCGACTTTGAGTACCGCTAGCGAGCTCGAATGCGAAGGGTTTGTTAATGACGATTCACTTCACTGTTTTCTCCAAGTTGAGCCGTAATGTTCTTTTCCGGTAGGTTAATAATTTATTATCGAGAGGAGCAAAAAATGTTGTGCTACCTGGAAAAAACCGCTTACTTGATCCCATTGAATATAAAACAGATAGAACGACTCTTCCTCCTCGTTCTTAAAAAAAAAAAAGAAAAAAAAAACGCGTTTTGAGGACATGACACACCCCTTTTGGTGTATTTGCCTGCAGGAAACAGGAATTTCGTCTGTGCGCACTGTAACTAGCACTGATCATCTCATTGAAGCCACGAGTATAATATAAAAGATAGGACTTCTCTTCACGACAGGCTGCCACAGTAAGCTGGCATCTGAGCGAAGCCCCAGCGTGTATATTATTGCATATTGTATATTAACAAAAAACTCTGCTCAATTTTAGATTTTTTTTTTTAAATATGTATGCACTTTCCTTAGTGAGGGCGAGGGATACCGCAACTGCCATATCAGGATGTAACTCTCTCTAAATCTGTATTAAACTTGTCAAAAATCTATGGCATGCACCAATTCAACGGATTCTGCTACTTTGGCGGGCAACTAGCCTCGCATCGAACACTGCGCTGCCTACGTCACATATATTACAAAATTTGTTGTTTTTTTGTTTTATGCTGAGCTCGGTATTTCATTAAAGTGCGCCTTTGCGAGTGCGTCGGGTGGCGGATATCCCCCTCTAGCCGTCTGCTACGTATATTTCGACGTAGCGTGTGTGTCTCTCCTCTTTCTAGATAACATTGTTTAAGGCAGGGGTCGGCAAACTTTTGCAGTGGCGGGACGAGGCGTCACGAAACCGACACGGAGTGAGCCGGAAGGGAAGTCGCAAGAGTGAAAGGGGAAGGAGGAGGGAAGCGAGTAAAGAAAAAGACACAAAAAAACACAGGCTCGAATTCGCATTAAGGACTGTCTCAAGAACTCCAATGAACCCGCAGAGCTCGATTCCTTGAACGTTGCATTCTTGATTGAGCAGTGATCCCTTGGGTAGCTCTATAAATGCGAATAGAATTCTCGAAACTTTCCAGAGCGCGCACAGGCGGCCCCGTTGCGCGCTCCTGTCGCGGCGCTCTACTGTCTCGAGCGATCCTGTCGGCGCTCTCGTGTTGCGCGCTCTTGAGTTATACAGCAGTGTAAAACATGTGGCAAAAAGGTTAGGCCACGTGAGCGATCGAAAGCGTCGCTTTGGTCGGCCCACCACAATTGGCCGAATGCTGACTATGACGTCAGCAAAGGATGTCTCATCAACGGAAATAAGAGGAATGTAAGAACTTCAATTTTTACGGTGTTGGCAGCGTTGCTTCGAGAGCGCTGTGATTTCAGGCTTTTACTATGCTTATTACAAACACCATCGAACTGTGTTGTTCACAAAGTAATGACGTCACGAAAGGTAACCAAACGAGGGCGCCACCGAAACATCTCGCTGCTAATAGGCGCTTTCAAGAAGCTGTGCATGGGCTCCGCCTTAACCGACCTTCAGTTTGCTTTCTCTCATTTTGTTCACTTCACTTCATCGTTACCACAACAGGATAGGTTATTTCTATTTTATATTCCATTGTGTCCTAATGCCCAGCATTGGCCCCTCTGGAGGCTCGTCTACGTCCTTTTTACTGGCTCGGTATAGACAAGCGACGATAAGCAATGGCGGCTGTAATCTTGCGCGTGTTTAAAGCGTCTGTACTTGAACGATTCTTTCTAGCAGAGCAGGCGCATGTCGGCGGTGAATGATGATTATTCCATTTTACTCGTACTTCGTTTCAGCTTACGTTCAGACGCGACTGACGCGACGTGCTAATGGCACCAATGAATCAACCTCAAAAGCACAGGTCACCATAAATATTCTATTTATCACTGGTTCAGCGATGATAGAACACCTCCAGAAATATGACGTGGTGCTCTTTGACGCTCTTTGATTGGTCCCATCAGCTCGTAGCGTCGGCAGCGTCTGGACTTAGGGCGAAATGAGGTGTAGTCGTCAGCCAACCGTCGGCGCACGCAGCCGATTCCCGACGAGGCGTAGCCTTCCCCGTGGACTCACGAAATCATGGGAGTGAATCGTGACGCACTAAGGGGCAGCGGAGCGGGCGTCATGGCGTCAGTACAGACAAAAGTGAATCGATAGATCAAAGAGCGGGATAAACCTCCTCCATTTCCGATTACTTTAGTTTTCATATAACTACAGAAACGGTGCCAGGGCAACATCCCCCAAAAGATAGCGACCGCTTCGAGTGTTTTTCACTTCGCAGTGAGGCGTGGTACGCGTCAGTCTTATCTCAACTCCTGGCTTTGCAGGTCCCCAGATCGCACGTATATAGTACGTCTGTAGACGCATACCGCATTCCAAGTATTTTATATCTTCTAACAAAGTGTTCGCGTGAAACTATCGCGATCTGCAGTCTAGAAGTCGCACCGTTGTAAAAGCGGCTCCTCTTTGTGCGGTTCGCAGAGTCGCTTGAGCCGCGGACTTATGCTGCAACGCTTCGGACCGCCGAAAGAGCAGGCCCTTGGTGGGGGCTGTGTTGTTCCTACTTTGCTGTTAACGTTGACAAGGCCTACACCTTGCACAGAAAAATGCCGTACTTACAACCACAAAAGAAACGCGTATGATTCGTACGGTTGTATACAACGCAGAAACCAAATTCTTGCAAAAAAAAAAAAAAGGAATCTTATACACCTGACATAACGCTCCACCTATGCGAACATTGCAACAACCGGTAGATTTCGATCACTACATGAGATACGTCCTGAGCAAACATGTAAACACGCACGAATTAAACGTGTTTTTTTAAAGTTGCCACATTGTGGCAACAAATATCGGCTAACCTTTTGTGTGATGTTTCCCAATAGGAGAACCACATTCTGCCGCACAGCATGGCGAACTCAGACATTTCCCGATACTAGCAAAACTTGTTGTTGCGCTAGTTGCCTTATGAAACTGAGTAGACATGTATGCGCAAAAGGAGGGCGAGCACTAATGCCGTCGTCCGTGTCCCCTCCTTCGTGTTCGCCCTTAGTATTCGAGCACACAAGGTTACTCATTGCCCTTATGGTTGGTTAGTTCCTTTCGGGGGGAGGGGGTGAGAATGCTTTACTTGAAAGTGTTTTGAGACACTGGTTTTTAGTTTCGACAGCCTAAACGACTGCGAGGACACCCACCAGTGGCGGAAATCGAATTGACCCACGAAGTTGTCTTCACTTCATATTGTGTCAAAATGATCTTCCCTGATTGACAGATCGGGTATAGCCCAAAAGATTAGTTCACTACTATTTTTATGGCTTCTGTGCTCCATGAATGATTTTTGCGTTTCATTTTGCACACTTATTGTGAAACAAAATGGCAATGATTGTGATACCGACAGACTTCAGTGGCATGCTATTCCTCCACGTTATGTTAGCCTTCTTGGACATGGGCAAGACTCGCACAGGTGGGGAAAGAGGGTGAAAAAAGAAGAGAAAAGGGGTTAAAAGGTGATTTGATCACCAATCTCTGGATGAGTAGGGTCGAATCAGAAGGCTATTTTCTTGAGAGAAACGGACTGTCTTTTGGTATGGAGATCACAAATTGGTCGATGACAGTTGAGACAAGAAGGCGTGGCTGGTCTACGTGGTGGGCCGGTGGGCTAGAGGCGCGTTGCGAGTCCAGTGGCTTGGAGGTACTCAAGAAGAGATTTATATACAAGTTATCTTCTTCGTCGACCTCCGGTGAGAAAAAATATTTCGTTCTTTTGAGTCACAGTTGTGCTGGCACTTAGGATGGTGGTAAAAACAGCACCGTCGAGCTTAATCGTACTGCGGACAAGTTAGGAGGACGTGGTCGAGATCGTTTTTGGACATTGCATCTGGCACAGTTGACTCTACTAGACCTGGAGATCTTGTGAAGTGTGTTTGATGTGTAGGCGCAGTTTGCAGGAACGCGATGGAGTAACGTGGAGTCTGATCTGGTTAGTTTTGACTGAGGAAGCGATGGAGGAGGATCCCCGCTATCGACTTCTGTATGGGGGTTACGCATTCTGGTAATTAATTTGCACAGTTTGCGCGCTTCGAAAAAACGTGGGATGAAAAGACTAGGTTCTTGTTCCTTGTTTGCCTTCGAAGCAAGGGCATCGGCGCGTTCGTTGCCAGGGATACCCATATATTACGGAATCCATTGAAAAGCCAACTGCCACCCTCGCATGCAAAGTTTTTGGGCCTTGTCGGCCACACATTCGGCTAGAAAAGTAGCCTGGTCTAAAGCTTTCAATTTGGACAACGCACTTCGAGAGTCTGAGAGAATAAAGGCCGGTTCACACATGCAGCGAAGCGCTAATGTAGCGCTTCTCACTTGTCGTCCGCTGCTTATTGTCTGCCATGAACAACAGTATTGACGGTGAGATACAAAGCTGGTAAACGCTCCCGTCAGCGCGCGCTTAGCGCGAGGTCAGCGCTACGCTTGTAGCGCTCCGCTAGATGTGTGAACAGGCCTTAACTGTCTCGCAAGGAGTGAGATTGTGAAGCGCGTCTAATGCCGCTGCTAGTGCAGCCAGCTCCGCTGTCGTTGACGTGGTTTCGAAATTGAGGCGGAGTGATGCTTCGATTCCGGCATCGGGAATGATCAATGCCGCTGTAGATGTTGCATTAGTGAGATTCTTTGACCCGTCAGTAAACACTTGGAGCCAACCATTGTACGTGCTTGTCAGTTGGTCAGATACAAGCGACCTTCCGACAGTGGCTGAGCTACAATTCTTCTTCGGGGAATAAGGAAGCGTTTCTCGTACAATTAACAGCGGTTGGGTAATGAAAGGTGCCGGAGGAAAGTAATGGCTATTAGGAGGTCCAATTTGTAAATCAAATTTTTGTACACATCGACCTATTTGCGAATCCGAACGCTCTTTAATGTTGGACAGCAGTGATGTCGCAGATCGTACTCCTTGGCCTCTACGAGTGTCGCCGTATTTCCCGCGAAGAGTGGCAGTCCAAGGCACTGACGGAGGGCAACTCGGTGAAAACGTTCAAGTGTGGTCATTTGATGGGCCCTGATTGTGATGATAGGAAGGCTGTATAATATTCTTGAGACGATAAGGTCACGATAGGGAATCAGAAGTCCTTGAGGAGGCAGTCAAGATTTCTGGCAATGGGAGTGACGAAGCAGTGTTCATAATTTAGTGCACTGCTTTATAAGTCATTTTATCTCGGGTTTCTAGGTAACGTGGTCATCTATTTCCATCCCCAAGTATCGGTACGTTGAGACTCGCTGAATCAGTATTCCTTTGATGGCTGGCGTACTTGCAACTTTGCGGTTTGGATGTCGACCAGCTAGGGTGGTAACAAAGAAAGGCCATTTTCCTAGTAGATAAGTAAGTCCTAATTATTCTAGAGTAGAAGTGCTGTCAAGAACTTTCTGAAGCCTTTTGCCGAAGGTCCTACAGAGTCTGGACTGACCGACACACCAAATTGCCACATCGTCGGCATATATCGTGATGTGAACGGTTGTACTGGACGTTTCTGAGGAGTTTATGCAGGGCGGAAGTTCTGCCGTGGTAAGGTT